GACGTAGATTCCTATAATATGTTTTAGCAGTGCTTCTGTATTTAATATTTGTTTTATGTTTGATTTTTAACGTATGCAAAAGAATAAACACGTCGCCGACGATCGACACATTACTATATTTGTATCGTCATGGCTGCGTTTCATCGATTGTTGCTGTCTTTGTGAGTAGCTCGGTTGGTGAGTGTCTAGGTAGGTGCTCCTAATGATGTGATTTCAAACTTTTTGGGTAAGTCTCTGACCCACTAAAGTGCCTGTCAGATGTTTCACAAGACACATGACTTGACGACACCCTCGTTCCTGCACTGGTCATTTGGGCAGATGGGTCGGTAGTAAGCTGACGCAACGCTGTGACTAGAGCACAGGTACCCATTAGAGCTGGGTGGACTCAGACTAAAGCCAGGCACCCATTAGAGCTGGGTGGACTCAGACTAGCGACTAAATATTTGGATGGGACAAAACAATCGATTAAAAACAAGCAAGTTTATTTCGAAGAAATACTTTACAAATTGTTTAATAAGCATATTTTTTTCTTCACCTTTAAATGGTCGTAAAAACAAGATGAACATGATTCGAATTTTCACGGATAGAAATGTTTGAAATTATTGAAAACATGCCATTACTGGGTGGGAGGTTAATTAAAGGAGCCAATCAGGCAGACAAACAAAGAGCTAATTACACCCGCCAGACGAGGGTGTGGCGGGGACAGCTAAATGTGGAAACCAGCATCACTTCATTAAACCTGGGAAATTACCTTAATTAGGTGCCGAGCGGACCAATGAATTACCGGATTTAAAATACCTCTGCAAAATACGCTCCGGCCTTGGGTGTCTTGAAAATATAAATCTATATCACCCCCCCCCCCCTACCTCTTTGATATTTTAATACAAAGAATATTCTATTTTAGAATAAAAATGAAAGCCTCGCCTTTTACAGGTTGTTTGTTCCACAGTTATAAAACGTGACTCGGGTAAAGCATTCGATCGTGTTGGCTGTAAAGCATATTGACACGTGTGATATTTACCTCGCTAGTGCCTATTGAGGTCATGAACTTGACGAAACAAAACGAAAGTCTTGAGGAAGTGGCCACTGTCCATTGGACGAATTGTTATCACAAAATGTTTGTGTGAAGCCATTCTCCAACCACGGTAAGGAAATAAAGTTAACGCTAAACTTGCATTTAATGAACCTGCCTGTATGACCGTTTAACGATTGTGTGCAAGCCAGGTGGTGTCTAGTGTCAGATGGTGTCTAGTGTCAGATGGTGTCTAGTGTCAGATGGTGTCTAGTATCAAGCCAGATGGTGTCTAGTGTCAAGCCAGATGGTGTCTAGTGTCAGATGGTGTCTAGTATCAAGCCAGATGGTGTCTAGTGTCAGATGGTGTCAGATGGTGTCTAGTGTCAGATGGTGTCTAGTGTCAGATGGTGTCTAGTGTCAAATGGTGTCTAGTGTCTAGCCAGGTGGTGTCTAGTGTCAAGCCAGGGGATCACCTGACCTGTTTCTCCTATGATCGCAAAAAGATAATTTGTCGGAATTAGTAGCCGGTATCGATCTCATTGCTAGAGGGTGAAGGAGGGGAGGGACTGGCGCGGGGGGGGGGGGGTCAAAGAGTGGAGAAAATCGTTCACTTAGCTGGCAGAGATAAGACGTTTAGGTATTGAGAGACAATGTGTTCATGAGAAAACTATGACCTTGACCCGTATACTTGAGACTTTCCAGTTCTGGGAAACACGGGCAGGAGTATGGTGTGGTGGTTTATATATATATATATATATATATATATATATATATATATATATATATATATATATATATATATATATATATATATATATATATATATATATATATATATATATACACATATATTAGCTGCTTAGCCACCATCAATCTTTTTAAAATGTACCAACGGGAAAAAACCCAACACAAATATAAAGGAAAACAATCGCAAACAAAAACACAAACCGGACACGTCTGATTCAACTTAGTGAGCTTCTGTAACGCCGCATCTTATCCATTGTCTATCATACTGTTTAGACCGAACGTAGTCGCCATAGCGCTCACTGGAAAGACCAGGGCGCCAAACGCATCCTGCCGGGGGCCGCCCATGCAAAAGTAGATTTTCCCCCCCCCCCCCACCACCCACCCATTCCCACCACTCAAGTTGTGAAACCGCAATCAACTTTTTTTTAATATACCGTTTATATAGAAAAAACAAAGACCAGAAATCTCCCAAAGAATATTCTCAACAGCTTCCCAAAGTTTCATGGCGATCGGATGAAAGGTGTAGTAACGTATACAAGACAGACACACACACAGACACACACACACACACACACACACACATACATTGCTTTTTATTATATAGATATATTTATATATTTATTTATGCTTTTATAGAATCTGAGGGGGGGGGATTGACAGGGGGTAATTGACAGGGGGGGGAATGTGATGTATCCCTTGTCACTATCCTGCGGTAAGCTCCGCCCACAGTTGAATGGTGTAATCACCCTAAAGACGTTTGACCTCATTATTTTCCTGGCTCTGTTTCCACAACGATCTGTACGCAGGGTAAAAATAGCCACCTTTTTAAAAAACCATTGAGGAAGTTCTGACTTCCCTCCCTTTTTTCCTTCAGTCAGCCCACTGGTCAATGAGTCACGGCAATATTGACTGTACATCAACTTTTGGACTAACGTCAGATTTTATTGACTGTACATCAACTTTTGGACTAACGTCAGATTTTATTGACTGTACATCAACTTTTGGACTAACGTCAGATTTTATTGACTGTACATCAACTTTTGGACTAACGACAGATTTTATTGACTGTACATCAACTTTTGGACTAACGACAGATGTTATTGATTGTACATCAACTTTTGGACCAAAGACGGATTTTATTGATTGTACATCAACTTTTGGACTAACGACAGATTTTATTGACTGTGCATCAACTTTGGACTAACGACGGATTTTATTGACTGTACATCAACTTTTGGACTAACGACGGATTTTATTGACTGTACATCAACTTTTGGACTAACGACGGATTTTATTGATTGTACATCAACTTTTGGACTAACAACAGATTTTATTGACTGTACATCAACTTTTGGACTAACGACGGATTTTATTGACTGTACATCAACTTTTGGACTAACGACGGATTTTATTGACTGTACATCAACTTTTGGACTAACGACGGATTTTATTGACTGTACATCAACTTTTGGACCAAAGACGGATTTTATTGACTGTACATCAACTTTTGGACTAGCAACATACTTTATTGACTGTACATCAACTTTTGGACTAACGACAGATTTGATTGACTGTACATCAATTTTTTGACTAACGACGGATTTTATTGACTGTACATCAACTTTTGGACTAACGACGGATTTTATTGACTGTACATCAACTTTTGGACTAACGACGGATTTTATTGACTGTACATCAACTTTTGGACCAAAGACGGATTTTATTGACTGTACATCAACTTTTGGACTAGCAACATACTTTATTGACTGTACATCAACTTTTGGACTAACGACAGATTTGATTGACTGTACATCAATTTTTTGACTAACGACGGATTTTATTGACTGTACATCAACTTTTGGACTAACGATGTTTTTTATTGACTGTACATCAACTTTTGGACTAACGATGTTTTTTATTGACTGTACATCAACTTTTGGACTAACGACGGATTTTATTGACTGTATATCAACTTTTGGACTAACGACGGATTTTATTGATTGTACATCAACTTTTGGACCAAAGAGGAAGTGGTTGTGTCCAGTCACTGCGACCAAGAGCGACTACAGACAGACTGACCCTTGACCCCGAACGGAAGGAGTCAACTATCTCAAACTGAACCCATGACCCAGGTCACATTAAAGTTCGGACTATTGCGTCATCAGCAGCCGGAGAACATCCTTGACCTTCCAGGATCGATTACCCAGCTGATTGGGCGAACGATTTAAGAGCCTCGTTGTGAGCCCGAGTTAACTGTCGTTGACTAAAGCCCTCGTCTGCTGCAACAGTTCACAGTTTTAAAATTCCCGGATGTGACGTCACAGGCATTGTCCACACGTCTCTCGGGGTTTGACTGGTTGGACTTGGTGATGGTTCTCATGGTTACTGCTGACAGTTAGGTCATGAAGGTCACTGCTAAGAGTTAGGCCATGAAGGTAATTGCTAAGAGTTAGGTCATGAAGGTTTCTGCTAAGAGTTAGGTCATGAAGGTCACTACGCCTCTGCACTGTTTACGAGCTTATTTATTGATATTTAGAAGAGCCTCTGTTATTTACACAGTATCAAACTCAAGTGTAAACGAGCCTTTGTTTCATTTAGTCCTGTGTTGTGTAACTTGTTTGTGTTTGCTCGTCTTTAAGGTTGCGCGACGCACTGGATCACCCGTAAAGGTGTGTCCGTGAATTCATGAAGATATGCCTGAAAGAAACACTGGCACCCAGTCTATAAAGGTGTCTTCAGCTAACCATCACAACAAAGATGGAACCCAGTTTATAAAGGTGTCTTCAACTAACCATCATGACAAAGATGGCACCCAGTCTATAAAGGTGTCTTCAGCTAACCATCCCAACAAAGGTGGCACCCATCCAATCATCAAGACAAAGATGGCACCCAGTCTATAAAGGTGTCTTCAGCTAACCATCCCAACAAAGGTGGCACCCAGTCTATAAAGGTGTTTTCAACTAACCATCCCAACAAAGGTGGCACCCAGTCTATAAAGGTGTCTTCAGCTAACCATCACGACAAAGATGGCACCCAGCCAACCATCACGACAAAGATGGCACCCAGCTAACCATCACGACAAAGATGGCACCCAGCCAACCTTCACGACAAAGGTGGCACCCAGCCAACCATCACGACAAAGATGGCACCCAGTCTATAAAGGTGTTTTCAACTAACCATCACGACAAAGATAGCACCCAGCCAATAAAGGTGTCTTCAGCTAACCATCACGACAAAGATGGCACCCAGCCAACCATCACGACAAAGGTGGCACCCAGCTAACCATCACGACAAAGATGGCACCCAGCCAACCATCACGACAAAGATGGCACCCAGCCAACCATCACGACAAAGATGGCACCCAGCCAACCATCACGACAAAGATGGCACCCAGCCTATAAAGGTGTCTACAGCTAACCATCACGACAAAGGTGGCACCCAGCCAACCATCACGACAAAGATGGCACCCAGCCAACCATCACGACAAAGATGGCACCCAGCCAACCATCACGACAAAGATGGCACCCAGCCAACCATCACGACAAAGATGGCACCCAGCCAACCATCACGACAAAGATGGTACCCAGCCAACCATCACGACAAAGATGGCACCCAGCCAACCATCACGACAAAGGTGGCACCCAGCTAACCATCACGACAAAGATGGCACCCAGCCTATAAAGGTGTCTACAGCTAACCATCACGACAAAGGTGACACCCAGCCAACCATCACGACAAAGATGGCACCCAGCCAACCATCACGACAAAGATGGCACCCAGCCAACCATCACGACAAAGATGGCACCAAGCCAACCATCACGACAAAGGTGGCACCCAGCCAACCATCACGACAAAGATGGCACCCAGCCAACCATCACGACAAAGATGGCACCCAGCCTATAAAGGTGTCTACAGCTAACCATCACGACAAAGGTGGCACCCAGCCAACCATCACGACAAAGGTGGCACCCAGCCAACCATCACGACAAAGGTGGCACCCAGCCAACCATCACGACAAAGGTGGCACCCAGCCAACCATAACGACAAAGATGGCACCCAGCTAACCATCACGACAAAGGTGGCACCCAGCCAACCATCACGACAAACGTGGCAACCAGTTAACCATCACGACAAAGATGGCACCCAGCCTATAAAGGTGTCTACAGCTAACCATCACGACAAAGGTGGTACCCAGCCAACCATCACGATAAAGATGGCACCCAGCCAACCATCACGACAAAGGTGGCACCGAGGCAACCATCACGACAAAGATGGCACCCAGCCAACCATCACGACAAAGATGGCACCCAGCCAACCATCACGACAAAGATGGCACCCAGCCAACCATCACGACAAAGGTGGCACCCAGCCAACCATCTCGACAAAGGTGGCACCCAGCTAACCATCACGACAAAGATGGCACCCAGCCTATAAAGGTGTCTACAGCTAACCATCACGATAAAGGTGGCACCAGCCAACCATCACGACAAAGATGCCACCCAGCCAACCATCACGACAAAGGTGGCACCCAGCAGACATTACTGCGAGACCCGTCCAAAAAAAAGATCGTGCCCTCATTCCACCTTATTCGCCCCACCACAGCCCCCACACTCCCACCCCACAAATCCCTCACTCCACAAACCTCTCACCCCTACGCCCCCCCTCCCCTAGTGTTTTGATCCCTGCAGTGATAGCTCCTTAAACTCCCATTAGCCGGTCCGACTATCTGCTCCTGTCTCCCATTAGCCGGTCCGACTATCTGCTCCTGTAGGATTTGTGGGGGATATCAATAAGATGACCCGCCATATTTAACGGACCCCCTTTTAGCCAGCGGAAGTCGATACGCTGGTTGCACTTTTAGAAAAGTGCATTCGGCTTTTTTTTTTAACTTTTAACACATCGATGTCACCAGATAAATGTATTCTCGTCAATAAAACATTTGGGGTTCCCAAAAATTCCACCCAAATCACAAAATGCCAGGATTTTCTGCCGCTAATCGGAAGTTGAAATTTTAACTCTCAATGTCAAGGCCTCTAGGCATTATTTTCCTCATTGGACTCTAAAGGGTGAACTAGTTGGGACATTGTGTTGAATGTATTCCCACACAGTGTATGGAGGTGTGTGGGACGGTGTGGTCAAGCCTGCTCACATCGACACACACTGTGGCTGTGGTGTGGTGTGGTGTGGTGTGGCTGTGGTGTGGTGAAATATTTCAGCATCCATAAAAACTTTATTGGGCGGCAGTTAACTGAAGTTTCAAATAATTTAACCACGGTCAAATCTCATGGGGCCATCGTCAAATTTGGTGATTGGCTTGATACTGTCAAATTTGATTTGTAAAGAATTTACGAGATTATGTGAAGAACTACCGAGATTATGAGAAGAACTAGCGAGATTATGTGAAAAACTAACGAAATAATGTGAAGAACTAACGAGACTATGAGAAGAACTAACGAGACTATATAAAGAACTAACGAGACTATGAGAAGAACTAACGAGACTATATAAAGAACTAACGAGACTATGAGAAGAACTAACGAGACTATATAAAGAACTAACGAAATAATGTGAAGAACTAACGAGACTATATAAAGAACTAACGAGACTGTGTGAAGAACTAACGAGACTGTGTATAACGAATGCCTCTCAAATGAAATCCCAGTTGATTTCGTTGAATCGACCAGTTCTTCAGCTGATACAGACCAGACATAGTTGTAAACCATTTAAATATTTATATCAAGCCAGCTTATACACCATAGCGACGGCTTTATACTACAGCATATCCCCCATATTATTCAATATACCGTATGGAATAAATGTTTTTACAAAAGTTTTTAAAAAATGAATGCACAATTCAAACAAAATGAATAGTATTGTAATATTTGTTAAATAGTTGATGTGTTTCAAATATTTGTTAAAAAGTTGATATGTTTCAAATATTTGTTAAAAAGTTGATGTTTCAAATATTTGTTAAAAAGTTGATATGTTTCAAATATTTGTTAAAAAGTTGATGTTTCAAATATTTGTCAAAAAGTTGATGTTTCAAATATTTGTTAAAAAGTTGATATGTTTCAAATATTTGTTAAAAAGTTGATGTTTCAAATATTTGTTAAAAAGTTGATGTTTCAAATGTTACGTCAATCTAGGACGTGTTAGACGTCAACTCATACGTCTTATGTACGTCTTATGTTATGGCTGCTTCACCGCTGTAGGAATGACGTCTACCGGACACATATAAGCAACACACATACATTTAGAACAGTCAACAACACAAATATCTTCGACTAATATTTTTAGCCTTGACTAATATCTTAAGCCTTTGACTAATATCATATTTTATCCTAATATCTAAAAGCTGAGAGGTTCAGAGATGATGGAGAACTTAAAGATTCGGAGTTTTGTTAAAAATAATGTTGAATGTTTTAAATGTATAAACTAAATTTTATTTAAAGAAGGAAAATATAAATAAAGTAATATTCGAATATAGAAACACATTTTCAATTATGCATATGGAAAAGTGTTTATGATTGTGACAAGAACAATAATTATCGTCACATGCCACATATTTTAACTACGGATAGTACACAAAACTAATGGCGTCATCTTCCAATTTTAGAATATGAAGAAATAAACTATTTCATTCACATTTGATTTAGATCTAGATCTAGATTCTATAAATCTACTTATCACGAAGTACGCTGAAATGAATACAATTTTTCTCGGTGAAACTAATAAAAATTACTTTAAAAAACAACATGATGACAATAGGACTGCCGTATTTTTAACGGAATCATGTACGTCTCTTAATCAGTGTGTGCATTTAATTTGGTGTTGTGTTGACAAATAATATATATCATTTGGTTTTAATTTTTCTAATGTGTATTGTTAGATATGTTATTTTAAATGTGACAAATGTGTAGCTATTTTGTCATTTCTTTGCTTTCTCACCAATATCGTTCAACGTGTAGTAAAGCACATTTGGTTTTGACCAACAACTATTTTATAAATTATTTTTCCCAAATAAGTCAAACAGAAAAAATACCTAGGCCTATAATTCACGTGAAATTGGTACCCATAGCTAATACTTTATGTGTTGTGTATTCAGCAAGTGCAAACCAACATAAAATTAATAAAATTTAAAAACATTTAGTTTGAATTATGTAGGTTTTTATTCCATTATACTTAAAACATTTAACAGAATTAAGTTAAATTTAATTGAATGCCCCGACCTACTCAGTTTGTTTTTTGTCGTGTTTTTCTAATACAAGATTTACATCAACATGAAACTGGAAAAACACATAGTTGATATTATGATTTGCTGCCCTCAACTCATCGCAACAATAGTTGAACCATCCTTACTGCTGATATGATTTGCTGAACTCAACTCATCGCAAAAATAGTTCAACCATCCTTACTGCTGATATGATTTGCTGAACTCAACTCATCTAAACAATAGCTCAACCATCCTTCCTGCCTACATTAATCACGTTCATTGCATAACAAGCATAGGATCAAGACCAAATGCCGACAAGGTAATAAGGTCAACATAGACGTAATACGTCAACAACTCACAATGTGGATGGACAAGGCCGACAGAGAAAAAGACGACAAGGTAATAAGGTCAACATAGACGCGATACGTCAACAACTCACAATGTGGATGGACAAGACCGACTGAGAAAAAGCCGACAGACCTACGGGAACAACATACACAACACAATTTTGTGCCTAGATTTTATTTTATAATTATTTTTTTTACTGGATATTCAAATAAATGTAAAAAATTGAGGCTGTTCTTTAAATTATCAAACAGCATTTTACTTAAGAAGATCAAATTCAGTTTATTATTATAAATCATAATGCTTTTAAAATTTATAAATACACCAATAAAAAAAACTCTAATTTATAAACACCCACAATTTTGCAATGCTCAAGTAAATCAAAACATTTTTGAGACTTCTTTTTAACTTTTTCTCCTTTTAACAGATACATGGTTCGCCTACCGAACTCTACCGTAGCCAATACCGTCCCAAAAAGTACAAAGCTTGTCGTTGTAGTTGGAGACGATTCGGTTGACTGGAGTCTGGAAATACATGGCCTGCCAGCCGGTGGTGCTGCTGTACCTGGGCCACTCTAGAACGTCTGCAGCACACGTGACTCCCCCGCCCCGTCCCCCGGGCTGCAGGATTTCGAACAACGAGACATCGCTTTGACCTGATCTCACAACTTCCGGTTTCGTCGGTCGCCGTCTAGCAGGTTGAAGGTCACGTGGTCTGGCGGGCAGCCAACCAGCGGGCTGACGGTTGGGGTCGCCGGTCCAGGCGAAGTTGGTCCAGTAGGTCATCATGCTTGAGCTCAGCAGCTCCTCGTCTGGCGTGAAGGTGAAGTTGGCCAGGTAGGCGGTGTGGAACACGTACACCACCTCCACCCCGTGGCAAGCTCGACCTGGGGGGTCAAGGTCAGGTCAACATTAAATCATGACGGTCAAGTTGCCCAGGTAGGCGGTGTGGAACACGTACACCACCTCCACCCCGTGACAAGCTCGACCTGGGGGGTCAAGGTCAACATTAAATCATGAAGGTCAAGTTGCCCAGGTAGGCGGTGTGGAACACGTACACCACCTCCACCCCGTGACAAGCTCGACCTGGGGGGTCAAGGTCAGGTCAACATTAAATCATGAAGGTCAAGTTGCCCAGGTAGGCGGTGTGGAACACGTACACCACCTCCACCCCGTGGCAAGCTCGACCTGGGGGGTCAAGGTCAACATTAAATCATGAAGGTCAAGTTGCCCAGGTAGGCGGTGTGGAACACGTACACCACCTCCACCCCGTGGCAAGCTCGACCTGGGGGGTCAAGGTCAACATTAAATCATGAAGGTCAAGTTGCCCAGGTAGGCGGTGTGGAACACGTACACCACCTCCACCCCGTGACAAGCTCGACCTGGGGGGTCAAGGTCAGGTCAACATTAAATCATGAAGGTCAAGTTGCCCAGGTAGGCGGTGTGGAACACGTACACCACCTCCACCCCGTGGCAAGCTCGACCTGGGGGGGTCAAGGTCAACATTAAATCATGAAGGTCAAGTTGCCCAGGTAGGCGCTGTGGAACACGTACACCACCTCCACCCCACGGCAAGCTCGACCTTGGGGGTCAAGGTCAACATTAAATCATGAAGGTCAAGTTGCCCAGGTAGGCGCTGTGGAACACGTACACCACCTCCACCCCGTGGCAAGCTCGACCTGGGGGGTCAAGGTCAACATTAAATCATGGATTAACTTGTTTTATTCTAAAGCAACCAAAACAAGTACAAAGTGAGAGGATTTTAAAAAGCCTTGTCAACTCACACACTTTTGCCATTTCTCAGATACGCATTTTGTCATTTCTAAGTCAAATGTCATTAACCTTGTCAATTTTAAGCCACTCACAAACGTTTCGCATTTCTCTGACCTACCTTGGCCACACGTGTAGGCTAAGGCCACACGTGTAGACTAAGGCCACACAGTTCTCTGACCTACCTTGGCCACACGTGTAGACTAAGGCCACACAGTTCTCTGACCTACCTTGGCCACACGTGTAGACTAAGGCCACACAGTTCTCTGACCTACCTTGGCCATACGTATAGACTAAGGCCACACAGTTCTCTGACCTACCTTGGCCACACGTGTAGGCTAAGGCCACACAGTTCTCTGACGTACCTTGACCACACGTGTAGGCTAAGGCCACACAGTTCTATGACCTGGCCACACGTGTAGACTAAGGCCACACAGTTCTCTGACCTACCTTGGCCACACGTGTAGGCTAAGGCCACACAGTTCTCTGACGTACCTTGACCACACGTGTAGACTAAGGCCACACAGTTCTCTGACCTACCTTGGCCACACGTGTAGACTAAGGCCACACAGTTCTCTGACCTACCTTGACCACACGTGTAGACTAAGGCCACACAGTTCTCTGACCTACCTTGGCCATACGTGTAGACTAAGGCCACACAGTTCTCTGACCTACCTTGGCCACACGTGTAGACTAAGGCCACACAGTTCTCTGACCTACCTTGGCCACACGTGTAGACTAAGGCCACACATTAAGATATAAAGAATGGCCAGTTCTCACCAGACATGGCCGTCAAGGCCAAGCCTCTCCACCCAGATGATCCCCAATAACCTCGCGGACAAATTGCTAACGTGATGGAATCGGTGACGTATGGGCTGGAGAGTATGGTCAAATAACCTTCATCAGACCTTCAAACAGACGCAGCTTTTAGCGCCGTTACTCGCGAGACTTCGTTTGTTCGAGTCATATGAGGTTACGGTTTCCGCTTCTCTGAGAGTAATATGTAGGCACCAGGTCTTCTAGTGCTACTAGACGTACCGTTACAGTAGGTAGCAGGTCCCTAGTGCTACTAGACGTACAGTTACAGTAGGTAGCAGGTCCCTAGTGCTACTAGACGTACCGTTACAGTAGGTAGCAGGTCCCCACCCAGGGAAGGAGAGGGCGTGGTCGAAGACGTAGAACCAGACGTCCTGCAGACCCCGGGTCAGCGCTGTACGGGTCAGGTTCCGGGTCGGGCACTTGAAGACCAGGTCGGTGCTGATGTTGACCAGCACCTCCCTCTGGTCACGTGACGAGGCGGTGGGCGGGTAGTGCTGCACGATCTGGGGGGGGGGGGGGGGGCGAGAGAGATATGCATTAGATGTGCTCACCTCCGACATAGCCTAACTGTAACACCTGACCTACCTGTAACACCTGACCCACCTGTAGCCACCGACCCCCGGCAGGACTGACCCACCTATAACCATCGATCCCTCTCTCCCTCCTGCAGGACTGACCCACCTGTAACACCTGACCCACCTGTAACACCTGACCCACCTGTAACACCTGACCCACCTGTAACACCTGACCCACCTGTAACACCTGACCCACCTGTAACACCTCACCCACCTGTAACACCTGACCCACCTGTAACACCTGACCCACCTGTAACACCTGACCCACCTGTAACACATGACCCACCTGTAACACCTGACCCACCTGTAGCCACAACCCACCTGTAACACCTGACCCACCTGTAACACCTGACCCACCTGTAACACCTGACCAACCTGTAACACATGACCCACCTGTAACACCTGACCCACCTGTAACACCAGACACCCCCCCTCCTGCAGGACTGACCCACCTGTAACACCTGACCCACCTGTAACACCTGACCCACCTGTAACACCTGACCCACCTGTAACACCTGACCCACCTGTAACACCTCACCCACCTGTAACACCTGACCCACCTGTAACACCTGACCCACCTGTAACACCTGACCCACCTGTAACACCTGACCCACCTGTAACACCTGACCCACCTGTAGCCACAACCCACCTGTAACACCTGACCCACCTGTAACACCTGACCCACCTGTAACACCTGACCCACCTGTAACACCAGACACCCCCCCTCCTGCAGGACTGACCCACCTGTAACACCTGACCCACCTGTAACACCTGACCCACCTGTAGCCACAACCCACCTGTAACACCTGACCCACCTGTAACACCTGACCCACCTGTAACACCTGACCCACCTGTAACACCTGACCCACCTGTAACACCTGACCCACCTGTAGCCACAACCCACCTGTAACACCTGACCCACCTGTAACACCTGACCCACCTGTAACACCTCACCCACCTGTAACACCTGACCCCCTGTAGCACCAGACCCCCCCCCCCGACAGGACTGGCCCGCCTGTAACACCTGACCCACCTGTAACACCTGACCCACCTGTAACACCTGACCCACCTGTAACACCTGACCCACCTGTAACACCTCACCCACCTGTAACACCTCACCCACCTGTAACACCTGACCCCCTGTAGCACCAGCCCCCCCCCCCCTGCAGGACTGACCCACCTGTAGCAACTGGCCTGGCCTGGTGACCCCTATCAGCGCCAAGTAGTCCTCAATGTCCATGCTCTTGTTGTAGCTGCCGTAGATGTAGAGGACCGTCTCCTCGCGGGTGTTGCCCACCACCATTGGCTTCCTGCTGAACTCACCTCGGCTGTACACGTCCAGAGGCTGGCCTGACCAAGGTCAAGGTAAACAGGTCAGTAAAGCGGTGCATACAGGGAGAGGTCTGCTAACAGTCTGATACAGGCCATGTCCCCGGCGCTAATTGTCGTGTTGACTCACCAGTGACCAGCTGACCGACTCACTCACCCTTGACCAGCTGACCGACTCACTCACCCTTGACCAGCTGACCGACTCACTCACCCTTGACCGCTGACCGACTCACTCACCCGTGACCAGCTGACCGACTCACTCACCCTTGACCAGCTGACCGACTCACTCACCCTTGACCAGCTGACCGACTCACTCACCCTTGACCAGCTGACCGACTCACTCACCCTTGACCAGCTGACCGACTCACTCACCCGTGACCAGCTGACCGACTCACTCACCCTTGACCGCTGACCGACTCACTCACCCGTGACCAGCTGACCGACTCACTCACCCTTGACCAGCTGACCGACTCACTCACCCGTGACCAGCTGACCGACTCACTCACCCTTGACCGCTGACCGACTCACCCGTGACCAGCTGACCGACTCACTCACCCGTGACCAGCTGACCGACTCACTCACCCGTGACCAGCTGACCATCGATGTACGGGTTGAACGGCTCAAACATCTCCAGGAACTTCAAGGACGCGACCTTGGCCCGGGTGTCAAAGGCGGCCTTGGCTACGTCATCAGCTGACCTACTTCTGAGACACGTCACATCTGGAGCAGACGAGAACATTTTGTCAGACGTATTTGACCAGCGGGTCACGTCGGTGACGTAATGATTGACAGGTTAATTTCATCCAACCAATTTAGATGGGCGTGTCAAAACTGAGTGCTAGAAACTAATTTGATGAAGTTAGCCAATCACGTGATCTGATATAGGCCAAGCTTCAGGACAAACAATATCTGCCCCATACACAAGGAAGTGTTGGACAATATCTGCCCCATACACAAGGAAGTGTTGGACAATATCTGCCCCATACTTAAGGATCTGTTGGACAATATCTGCCCCACACACAAAGTTTGATTCAGTAAAAAATTCTCCCTCTCTCGTACGCCCACCTACAAAAGCCAATGAACTCAGCCCCCCCCCCCCCCCCCACCCTAACCCGTCCCTTGTCATTAGCCACAATATGCAGGTGAAACATCACACCAAATGATCACTTCTTATTTATCACAAATGTAATTATTTTAAACAAACAAATTACGGGCAAATTTTGCTTTTTGTTGAAATGTAGGAAAGAAGATCAGGAAAATATTTTTGTTAGGAATCTTATCTTTGTAAAAACTTGGTTCTAATCATTCACTGGCATTTTTTTTGTTCACTGAACAGCGCACTTTTAGCTGCATGCACAGTTACATAGATGGTGTGTCTTATATCGATGTTGGAAAGGTGGTTGGTGTATGCCATAGGGGTGGGTTAGTGTGTGCCACAGAGGTGGGTTGCTGTATGTCTTACAGTGTCATATGGCATAGCATTGGATGTATAAGATCTCACAGCGACAGAGCCAGTGCAACCCCTACCCTCCACCTGACAACCCAGCCAGTACAACCCTTACCTTCCACCTGACAACCCAACAACCCAGCCAGTACAACCCCTACCATCCACCTGACAACCCAACAACCCAGCCAGTACAACCCCTACCATCCACCTGACAACCCAACAACCCAGCCAGTACAACCCCTACCATCCACCTGACAACCCAACAACCCAGCCAGTACAACCCCTACCATCCACCTGACAACCCAACAACCCAGCCAGTACAACCCCTACCATCCACCTGACAACCCAACAACCCAGCCAGTACAACCCTTACCTTCCACCTGACAACCCAGCCAGTACAACCCTTACCTTCCACCTGACAACCCAACAACCCAGCCAGTACAACCCCTACCATCCACCTGACAACCCAACAACCCAGCCAGTACAACCCCTACCATCCACCTGACAACCCAACAACCCAGCCAGTACAACCCTTACCTTCCACCTGACAACCCAGCCAGTACAACCCTTACCTTCCACCTGACAACCCAGCCAGTACAACCCTTACCTTCCACCTGGCAACCCAGCCAGTACAACCCTTACCTTCCACTTGACAACCCACCCAGCCAGTACAACCCTTACCTTCAACCTGACAACCCAATGCCTCAGCCAACAGCCCACCCAGTACAAAAGCCTCGGCGTAAGTCTTGTAGGGAAGGGCAATGGGCGAACTCTCGATGATGACCTTGTGGAAAAGGTCAGCACTCTCTGCTGACGTCATGTGCTGCAGGGTTGACTGGGCGCCGGCACTCTGGCCGAACAAGGTCACCTACCAGGACATACAAAAGTTGAAGGTCACCTACAAGGACATACACATGTTGAAGGTCACCTACAAGGACACACAAAAGTTGAAGGTCACATATAAGGTTATACACATGTTGAAGGTCACCTACAAGGACACACAAAAGGTGAAGGTCACCTACAAAGACATACAAAAGTTGAAGGTCATCTACAAAGACATACAAAAGTTGAAGGTCGCCAACAAGGACATAGAACAGTTGAAGGTCATCTACAAGTACAATACACTTTTTTTTTTTGGCTTAGATTTGCTGTATAAAACAAAATTATTTTTATCATTTGGGCTGTGTTTAAAAACGATTCAATTATCCAGAAATTATTTTAACGAAACGACCTGGTTCGGATTCCCGCCAAACGACCGGATGTTGTCTCTGATCCACTTGAGAGCCTCGATCTGGTCGTACAAGCCGTAGTTCCCTCGGGCGTCTTCCTGTCTGCTGCCCGTCACTAGGAAACCCAGGGCACCTGTGGGCAGACAACAAGTGCCGTTAAACTCACTCCACATGGATCATCGCCCCTGTGGGAACAGATTTCTCTCCCTGATTAACGTTATGTGAATGGGAAGCCTGGGTGGCTTCCCTTGATTACTATTTTTATATTTGGGTTAGTGCCCTTGTAAACGATTCGGTTATAAGTGGGCTCGTGGGTAACGACGCCATTTTATTATTGATCTTGTGGGGGGGGGGGGGGGGGTAATATTTTGCAATAGCGAATAATACAGTTTGCAAAAAAGATAACTGCTGCTTCAGACATATTGGTGGCTCTGATTTAGACACAATTTGTGTATGAAATTAAACTGCTTCAGACATATCGATGGCTCTGATTTAGATACAATTTGTGTATGAAATTAAACTGCTTCAGACATATTGATTAGTCCAGTTTAGACCTAATTTGTTTGTTAAATTGAACTCAGAAATAGAACTAGTTATAATATGAAGCAACCTCAATTCCGCCAGCACAACGCCAACATAACGCCAGCATAACGCCAGCCTAACGCCAGCCTAACGCCAGCATAACGCCAGCATAACGCCAGCATAACACCAGCATAACACCAGCATAACGCCAGCATAACACCAGCATAACGCCAGCATAACGTAGTCCATATCGACGCCTACAAGAGCTAGGACGATTTGGAAAGATGTAAATATTACAATGATCAGTATCACATAGACGATCTACTTTGACTTTATTAGAGGAAATATTACAATGATCAGTATTACATGGACGATCTACTTGACTTAATTACAGTAAATATTACAATGATCAGTATCACATGGACGATCTACTTTGACTTTATTAGAGTAAATATTACAATGATCAGTATCACATGGACGATCTACTTAGACTTCGGACTGAAGAACATAGAGATCTAAATCTATAATGGGCCACGTTCGCACCTCTCTCTGTCTCTCTCTGTCCGCAAAATATTTTCGCCGGACATCACATCAGAATCTACAGCGATATATCGAGAAATTTTTACGGACTTTTGTTGAAAATAATATGGTAAATGTTTTAAATGTATAACCACAATTTTTTTTAAAGAAGAAAAATAAAAAATAAAGGCGTATTCGAATGTAGAGAAACAGTATTATTTATGCAACCGGTAAAGCATTTATAGATGTGAAAAAGAACGCATTAAACTGTGACGTCACTAATGTTTATACATTAACTAATGACGTCATCTGCCGTGTTTAAAAAAAAAAAAAATCTGCCGTGTTTAGAATAGAAAGAAATGAACCATTTCATTCAAATTTGATTTAGATCTACGTACACTATGAAATGGTTCCCAGAAAGAACCGCAACGGAAAAAAGCGCAACGGAAAAAAGCGCAAATCAAAAAGCGCAACGGAAATAAGCGCACACGGAAAAAAGCGCAAAGAGAAAAAAGCGCACACAGAAAAAAGCGCAAAGAGAAAAAAGCGCAAACGGAAAAAAGCGCAAACAGAAAAAAGCGCAAACGGAAAAAAGCGCAAATAGAAAAAAGCGCACACGGAAAAAAGCGCAAAGAGAAAAAAGCGCAAACAGAAAAAAGCGCAAAGAGAAAAAAGCGCACACAGAAAAAAGCGCAAACAGAAAAAAGCGCAAATGGAAAAAAGCGCAAAGAGAAAAAAGCGCAAACGGAAAAAAGCGCAAACAGAAAAAAGCGCACACGGAAAAAAGCGCAAACGGAAAAAAGCGCAAACGGAAAAAAGCGCAAACGGAAAAAAGCGCAAACGGAAAAAAGCGCAAACGGAAAAAAGCGCAAACAGAAAAAAGCGCACACAGAAAAAAGCGCAAACAGAAAAAAGCGCAAACGGAAAAAAGCGCAAACAGAAAAAAGCGTACACAGAAAAAAGCGCAAACGGAAAAAAGCGCAAACAGAAACAGAAAAATGCGCAACCAGAAAAAACACAACGAAAAATGTTTGCGCTTTTTTCTGTGTGCGCTTTTTTCCGTTTGCGCTTTTTTCCGTTTGCGCTTTTTTCTGTTTGCGCTTTTTTCTGTGTGCGCTTTTTTCTGTTTGCGCTTTTTTCCGTTTGCGCTTTTTTCCGTTTGCGCTTTTTTCCGTTTGCTCTTTTTTCCGTTTGCGTTTTTTTCCGTGTGTGCTTTTTTCTCTTTGCGCTTTTTTCCGTTTGCGCTTTTTTCTGTTTGCGCTTTTTTCTGTGTGCGCTTTTTTCTCTTTGCGCTTTTTTCTGTTTGCGCTTTTTTCTCTTTGCGCTTTTTTCCGTGTGCGCTTTTTTCTCTTTGTGCTTTTTTCCGTTTTCGCTTTTTTCTGTTTGCGCTTTTTTCTGTGTGCGCTTTTTTCTCTTTGCGCTTTTTTCCGTGTGCGCTTTTTTCCTTTGCGCTTTTTGTTTTGCGCTTTTTTCCGTTGCGGTTTTTTCCGTTGCGGTTCTTTCCGGCCACCCTATGAAATGTACACAATACAATTTTTCCGGCCTAAACTCATAAAATTTATTTTATTTATTTGGATTCTAGATCTAGAATCTAGAGATTCTAGATCTAGACTAGATCTAAATCTACAAATCTACGCAATAACTAGATCGAGACGTAGACGCTAAGATCTAGATTTAGACTCTATCTTCTCTAAAATCTATTCCAAAAATAAATTTCTATATTAGGACTAAACTATTTCAAGACATAATTATTTTATACAAAATCTTTGTTTGGAACTGGCTAATTTGGGATAAAAAAATTAATTTGAAAGAATAGGCATATTTGCGTAAGTTAAGATTTTGAAATACATCTTTCATTCTCCGAGTTTTATAAGGTGCTTATATAGCGGAGATGATAGTGTACTTAAACCCACGCAGGTGGTGCGGGTTCGAGACGCACCAAGACAACTTGGTTAATCTATTTTTTTTTTATTTTGCTCGGGCTAAACTTTAAAAAAAATTCTATTAGGATATTCTATTAGAAAAACTAGACTTACACAGATGTAGACCCTACCTAGATCTAGAATCTACTCAAACAATACATTTCTATACTAAAGTATTTCAGGCCTTAATTACTTTATTGAAATCTTTGTTTATCTTTGCAATTTGCTAATCTCTATATTATATAAAGCAAAGTTGTCGGATGTCCGATAGGGCACTTCCCGGCGCCGCATGCGCTCCAAATTTGGCAGGATCTTGCCTTGGGGCGACAGAACACGAGGGCCGGTTGGCCGAAAAGTCTACGATGAGGGGGTCAAAACTGACCTCGACTGACCGGCGCCTTATATGAGCTATAAATAAAAAAAAATTGTCCACTCCTGAGGTCGTAGACCGACCCTCGGGCGAATTAATTAAGCATTCAAATTCTCAATGTTTTCGAAAGCCTAAGCGAAGCTGGGCAGCATGCCTAGTTAAGTCATAAGTACAGTAAAATAGATTCAAAGTATGTATGGGTCTCACCACCAATTTAAAGTATGGGGGTCCGGCCAATTTAAAATATGGGGGTACGGCCAACTTAAAATATGGGGGTACGGCCAACTTAAAGTATGGGGTACGGCCAACTTAAAGTATGGTGGTACGGCCAACTTAAAGTATGGGGGTACGGCCAACTTAAAGTATGGGGTACGGCCAACTTAAAGTATGGGGGTACGGCCAACTTAAAGTATGGGGGTACGGCCAACTGATGAAACCCGAGCTCTTGATTTGACCCATGTTAAGGACACCCCACTTGACCCACTTTAAGGACACCCCACTTGACCCACTTTAAGGACACCCCACTTGACCCACTTTAAGGACAGCCCACTTGACCCACTTTAAGGACACCCCACTTGACCCACTTTAAGGACAGCCCACTTGACCCACTTTAAGGACACCCCACTTGACCCACTTTAAGGACAGCCCACTTGACCCACTTTAAGGACACCCCACTTGATCCACTTTAAGGACACCCCACATGACCCACTTTAAGGACACCCCACTTGACCCACTTTAAGGACAGCCCACTTGACCCACTTTAAGGACACCCCACTTGACCCACTTTAAGGACAGCCCACTTGACCCACTTTAAGGACACCCCACTTGATCCACTTTAAGGACACCCACTTAACCTATGTTAAGGACACCACCCTAAAATAACCAGACAAATATAAATCAAATCGATTTTAAAAGCGGATAATTTTAATGAAACGTTTTACATTTGAAATTGCCGGGATACATCGGTGCCAATATCGAGTTCTTGCTTCTAGCGGTGTCTGCTTGGTAATGGAGATTCCCGATTTCTTTTTATACCCGCAGCAAGGATTAGCAGTAAAAATATTTAAACAAATTATAGACGGATAAAATCGGTGGGGGGGGGGGGGGGGGGGTGGCGACAGAACAGTGTGGGGGACAGTGTGGGGGACAGGGATGTAAGCTGTAATCCTGCTCGTCAGAACTCCAAGCTGTGTGGGCAAGGGTTAACGATTGGAAACTTTATAAAATTATATTTAGAACATTTAAATTTATTAAAACAAAGAATCCATCTGCAATAGACATTAAAGATTGAAAGATAAAAATAAAATAACAATGAAATGTGGCTGAAAATTTGCTTGAATCACGTGACCTTGTATTCGATCGTTGCCGACTTTACAGACCTGAAGAAGGTTTCGATGTTATTGGTCAATTTCAAACTGTATAAATCAAACCAAACTTCCTAACAAGCGTTTCCCGTTTTGGCCAAGATTTATCTTGCTCAGTTTACTTTGGCCAAGATTTATCTTGCTCAGTCTACTTTGGCCAGAATTTTTTTTGTGTGGAGCATTCGCTTCCTGGCACGTGTTGACGTCACAACACGCGAGTTTAGGCAAAATGTCCAACCTTGACCTTGATTGGAAATAAACATTTCATGATTGATGAAGAAACGACATTTTCATGACAGATGAAACAACATTTTCTTGACAGATGAAACAACGACGCTCAACCACCACCACCACCACCAGCAACAGCTAACTGTTAAACCACGGACCGGCTGAAATGGTTTTGAACCCAGGTCTTGAACAAACATCAAACGCGGCCGATGATTTTTTTTCAATTCTCAACAATGTCACGTGATATTCGCGAATGTCGGATTTAAGTCATGAAAGAAATGTTGCATATTTCTAGCAGACATGTGATGCAACTCGGACTAGGCGAAAAACAGATTTCAAAATGTACATCTGATGACAGTTATACCGGCGCTATGTTCAGTGATCAATGTCTATTAATATCGTAACAGTATCAAATGTCTATTTATGGCTAAAATTTATCTAACAAGCCACCGACCCAAACCTTTATTAACTCCTAACAGTGTTTCTTCCAGACTTTTTTCGGGGGGGGGGGGGAGCGGACACTGTTAAAAGTATATATTTTCTATATAAATTATATAAATTTCATTTCGTTGGGGGGGGGGGGGGGGCGGTAGAATTTTTTCGGGAGGGGGGGAGGGAGGGCAATTGGCCCCCCCGAGGAGATGCCTGGAAGAAGCTCTGACTCCTAATGTCCTTAACCTTTACTTAGTCCTAATGTCCTTAACCTTTACTTAGTCCTAATGTCCTTAACCTTTATTTAGTCCTTATGTCCTTAACCTTTACTTAGTCCTAATGTCCTTAACCTTTACTTAGTCCTGATGTCCTTAACCTTTACTTAGTTCTAATGTCCTTAACCTTTACTTAGTCCTAATGTCCTTAACCTTTACTTAGTCCTAATGTCCTTAACCTTTACTTAGTCCTAATGTCCTTAACCTTTACTTAGTCCTAATGTCCTTAACCTTTACTTAGTCCTAATGTCCTTAACCTTTACTTAGTCCTAATGTCCTTAACCTTTACTTAGTCCTAATGTCCTTAACCTTTACTTAGTCCTAATGTCCTCAACCTTTACTTAGTCCTAATGTCCTTAACCTTTACTTAGTCCTAATGTCCTTAACCTTTATTTAGTCCTAATGTCCTTAACCTTTACTTAGTCCTAATGTCCTTAACCTTTACTTAGTCCTAATGTCCTTAACCTTTACTTAGTCCTAATGTCCTTAACCTTTACTTAGTCCTAATGTCCTTAACCTTTACCTAGTCCTAATGTCCTTAACCTTTACTTAGTTTCGCCCCAAACAAATCAGCATGGACGGTGTAAATCAGTGAAAATGTGCACCGTTTTTATTTTCCAGCTTTCTGTTTGTATCGACCCGAGAGGAAACACTGTCAGGGCAACAAACGGCTTGATGACGTCATGGCGGTTAGCCAATGAAAACTGTCGCTGTGTTAACGGTGTCTTGTTTCTATTTTTAGCTGTTGAGACAGCCCGCTTTGTGTTGCCTGACCAGTAGTTTTTGGACAACTTTGGAGAAGGGGGGGGGGATCTATCTCCGCCCCCACGAAGATATGCCTGGAAGAAACTCTGATCTACACTATGTGAGATTTGGGGAAATCTATTTCATTTCATTAAAAAAAATTATATATATATATATATATATATATATATATATATATATATATATATATATATATATATATATGTATATGTATATATGTATATATATATATATATATATATATATATATATATATATATATATATATATATATATATATATATATATATATATATATATATATATTTGAGCAATTGTGCGCGTGTGTGCGTGTGAGCGTGTGCGTATGTGAGCGTGTGTGTGCGTGTGTGAGTGAGTGTGTGAGTGTGTTTGAGTGTATGCTTATGTGAGCGTGTGTGTGCGTGTGTGAGTGAGTGTGTGTGTGAGCGTGTGTGTGAGCGTGTGTGTGAGTGTGTATGTGTGCGTGCGTGTGTGTGTGTGAGCGTGTGTGTGCGTGTGTAAGTGAGGGTGTGTGTGTGTGAGAGAGAGAGAGTGTGTGTGAGTGTGTGTGTGCGTGTGTGAGTGAGTGTGTGTGTGCGTGTGTACGTGAGTGAGACCTCACCTAATCTGTAGTTGATGTTGACCAGTATGACATTGCCTCTCTGAACAAAAACCTCCCCGTCAAATATTGGACTCGCCCCACTCATGAAGAAAAAGTTGCCGCCGTGAATGTTGACCATGACTGGCAGGTTGGACCCATTCTTGGCGAGTAGGGGTGTGAAGATGTTCATGTATAGACAGTCCTCTGAAGTCTGTGGATGAGAGAGTGGTGTGGTGTTGTGGTGGTCTGTGTAGATGTGTGTAGATGTCTGATGTGTGTAGATGTGTGTAGATGTGTGTAGATGTGTGTAGATGTGTGTAGATGTGTGTACATGTGTGTAGATGTCTGATGTGTGTAGATGTGTGTACATGTGTGTAGATGTCTGATGTGTGTAGATGTGTGTAGATGTGTGTAGATGTGTGTAGATGTGTGTAGATGTGTGTACATGTGTGTAGATGTCTGATGTGTGTAGATGTGTGTAGATGTGTGTAGATGTGTGTACATGTGTGTAGATGTGTGTAGATGTGTGTAGATGTGTGTAGATGTGTGTAGATGTGTGTAGATGTGTGTACATGTGTGTAGATGTCTGATGTGTGTAGATGTGTGTAGATGTGTGTAGATGTGTGTAGATGTGTGTAGATGTGTGTACATGTGTGTAGATGTCTGATGTGTGTAGATGTGTGTAGATGTGTGTAGATGTGTGTAGATGTGTGTAGATGTGTGTACATGTGTGTAGATGTCTGATGTGTGTAGATGTGTGTAGATGTGTGTAGATGTGTGTAGATGTGTGTAGATGTGTGTAGATGTGTGTAGATGTGTGTAGATGTGTGTAGATGTGTATAGATGTGTGTAGATGTGTGTAGATGTGTGTAGATGTCTGATGTGTGTAGATGTGTGTAGATGTGTGTAGATGTGTGTAGATGTCTGATGTGTGTAGATGTGTGTAGATGTGTGTAGATGTGTGTAGATGTGTGTAGATGTCTGATGTGTGTAGATGTGTGTAGATGTGTGGTGGTGTGTGTAGATGTGTGTAGATGTGTGTAGATGTGTGTAGATGTGTGTAGATGTGTGTAGATGTGTGTAGATGTGTGTAGATGTGTGTAGATGTGTGTAGATGTGTGTAGATGTGTGTAGATGTGTGTAGATGTGTGTAAACCCAACCAATGTTCTGGAACTTACCGTCTTAGGGCAGAGATATTGTGGCTCGCACAACAAATGTTCTGGAACTTACCGTCATAGGACAGAGATATTGTGGCTCGCACAACAAATGTTCTGGAACTTACCGTCTTAGGACAGAGATATTGTGGCTCGCACAACCAATGTTCTGGAACTTACCGTCTTAGGACAGAGATATTGTGGCTCGCACAACAAATGTTCTGGAACTTACCGTCTTAGGACAGAGATATTGTGGCTCGCACAACAAATGTTCTGGAACTCTCTTAGTACAGAGATATTGTGGCTCGCACAACAAATGTTCTGGAACTTACCGTCTTAGGACAGAGATATTGTGGCTCGCACAACAAATGTTCTGGAACTTACCGTCTTAGGACAGAGATATTGTGGCTCGCACAACAAATGTTCTGGAACTTACCGTCTTAGGACAGAGATATTGTGGCTCGCACAACAAATGTTCTGGAACTTACCGTCTTAGGACAGAGATATTGTGGCTCGCACAACTAATGTTCTGGAACTTACCGTCTTAGGACAGAGATATTGTGGCTCGCACAACAAATGTTCTAGAACTCTCTTAGTACAGAGATATTGTGGCTCGCACAACTAATGTTCTGGAACTTACCGTCTTAGGACAGAGATATTGTGGCTCGCACAACAAATGTTCTGGAACTTACCGTCTTAGGACAGAGATATTGTGGCTCGCACAACAAATGTTCTGGAACTTACCGTCTTAGGACAGAGATATTGTGGCTCGCACAACTAATGTTCTGGAACTTACCGTCTTAGGACAGAGATATTGTGGCTCGCACAACAAATGTTCTAGAACTCTCTTAGTACAGAGATATTGTGGCTCGCACAACAAATGTTCTGGAACTCTCTTAGTACAGAGATTATGTGGCTCGCACAACAAATGTTCTGGAACTTACCGTCTTAGGACAGAGATATTGTGGCTCGCATCCAATTTGTGGACACCCAGGCGGATCCTGGTCAGCATCCAGAATGTTCGGTGCCCAGGCATTGGGGGGCAGAGGCAGAGTCCATCTGTGGGCATATATGTCACAATAAAATGGCGCTTTATAATGTCACTTTATTGTGTCACTTCACTTTATTGTGTCACTTTATAATTATAATTTATAATTTAAGTGTGTCACTTTAGTGTGTCACTGGATTAAGTTACTTCAATGTGTCCCTTTATTGTGGCAGTCTATAATGTCTCTAATCAGTGTCGCTCTATAATCCGCCTGATGAAATTTGATCAATTTTTACACAACCTTCCGAGATTGAACGTTACTGGTGTCAAGTTTTTTTGTCAAGTTTTGTGTCAAGTTTCTGCAGTGTTGAGTTTCTGATGTGTCCGATTTCTCTAGTGTCACATTCTCTGTCACGTTTTAGCTGTCACATTTCATGTCAGGAAATAGGGTCTCAACAAGTAAGTCTTGTTGTACTGTCCTACAGGCTACAGGCTCACACTGTCTTACAGGCTCACACTGTCCTACAGGCTCACACTGTACTACAGGCTCACACTGTCCTACAGGCTCACACTGTCCTACAGGCTCACACTGTCTTACAGGCTACAGGCTCACTCTGTCTTACAGGCTACAGGCTCACACTGTCCTACAGGCTCACACTGTCCTACAGGCTCACACTGCCCTACAGGCTACAGGCTCACACTGTCCTACAGGCTCACACTGTCCTACAGGCTACAGGCTCACACTGTCCTACAGGCTCACACTGTCTTACAGGCTCACACTGTCTTACAGGCTACAGGCTCACACTGTCTTACAGGCTACAGGCTCACACTGTCCTACAGGCTCACACTGTCTTACAGGCTCACACTGTCCTACAGGCTACAGGCTCACACTGTCTTACAGGCTCACACTGTCCTACAGGCTCACACTGTCTTACAGGCTCACACTGTCCTACAGGCTCACACTGTCCTACAGGCTCACACTGTCCTACAGGCTCACACTGTCTTACAGGCTCACACTGTCCTACAGGCTCACACTGTCCTACAGGCTCACACTGTCCTACAGGCTACAGGCTCACACTGTCCTACAGGCTCACACTGTCCTACAGGCTCACACTGTCCTACAGGCTACAGGCTCACACTGTCCTACAGGCTCACACTGTCCTACAGGCTCACACTGTCTTACAGGCTACAGGCTCACACTGTCCTACAGGCTACAGGCTCACACTGTCCTACAGGCTCACACTGTCCTACAGGCTACAGGCTCACACTGTCCTACAGGCTCACACTGTCCTACAGGCTCACACTGTCCTACAGGCTACAGGCTCACACTGTCCTACAGGCTCACACTGTCCTACAGGCTCACACTGTCTTACAGGCTACAGGCTCACACTGTCCTACAGGCTCACACTGTCTTACAGGCTACAGGCTCACTCTGTCTTACAGGCTACAGGCTCACACTGTCCTACAGGCTCACACTGTCCTACAGGCTCACACTGTCTTACAGGCTACAGGCTCACACTGTCCTACAGGCTCACACTGTCCTACAGGCTACAGGCTCACACTGTCCTACAGGCTCACACTGTCCTACAGGCTCACACTGTCCTACAGGCTACAGGCTCACACTGTCCTACAGGCTCACACTGTCCTACAGGCTCACACTGTCCTACAGGCTACAGGCTCACACTGTCCTACAGGCTCACACTGTCCTACAGGCTCACACTGTCTTACAGGCTACAGGCTCACACTGTCCTACAGGCTCACACTGTCCTACAGGCTCACACTGTCCTACAGGCTCACACTGTCCTACAGGCTACAGGCTCACACTGTCCTACAGGCTCACACTGTCTTACAGGCTACAGGCTCACACTGTCCTACAGGCTCACACTGTCCTACAGGCTCACACTGTCCTACAGGCTCACACTGTCCTACAGGCTCACACTGTCCTACAGGCTCACACTGTCCTACAGGCTACAGGCTCACACTGTCTTACAGGCTACAGGCTCACACTGTCTTACAGGCTACAGGCTCACACTGTCTTACAGGCTACAGGCTCACACTGTCTTACAGGCTACAGGCTCACACTGTCCTACAGGCTCACACTGTCCTACAGGCTCACACTGTCTTACAGGCTCACACTGTCTTACAGGCTCACACTGTCCTAAGGCTCACACTGTCTTACAGGCTCACACTGTCTTACAGGCTCACACTGTCTTACGGGCTCACACTGTCCTACAGGCTCACACTGTCTTACAGGCTACAGGCTCACACTGTCTTACAGGCTCACACTGTCCTACAGGCTCACACTGTCTTACAGGCTCACACTGTCCTACAGGCTACAGGCTCACACTGTCCTACAGGCTACAGGCTTACACTGTCTTACAGGCTACAGGCTCACACTGTCCTACAGGCTCACACTGTCCTACAGGCTCACACTGTCTTACAGGCTCACACTGTCTTACAGGCTACAGGCTCACACTGTCTTACAGGCTACAGGCTCACACTGTCTTACAGGCTACAGGCTCACACTGTCTTACAGGCTCACACTGTCTTACAGGCTACAGGCTCACACTGTCTTACAGGCTCACACTGTCTTACAGGCTACAGGCTCACACTGTCCTACAGGCTCACACTGTCTTACAGGCTACAGGCTCACATTGTCCTACAGGCTCACTGTCTTACAGGCTCACACTGTCTTACAGGCTACAGGCTCACACTGTCCTACAGGCTACAGGCTCACACTGTCCTACAGGCTACAGGCTCACACTGTCTTACAGGCTCACACTGTCTTACAGGCTCACACTGTCTTACAGGCTACAGGCTCACACTGTCCTACAGGCTCACACTGTCTTACAGGCTACAGGCTCACATTGTCCTACAGGCTCACACTGTCCTACAGGCTCACACTGTCTTACAGGCTCACACTGTCTTACAGGCTACAGGCTCACACTGTCCTACAGGCTCACACTGTCCTACAGGCTCACACTGTCTTACAGGCTACAGGCTCACACTGTCTTACAGGCTACAGGCTCACACTGTCCTACAGGCTCACACTGTCCTACAGGCTCACACTGTCTTACAGGCTACAGGCTCACTCTGTCTTACAGGCTACAGGCTCACACTGTCCTACAGGCTCACACTGTCCTACAGGCTCACACTGCCCTACAGGCTACAGGCTCACACTGTCCTACAGGCTCACACTGTCCTACAGGCTACAGGCTCACACTGTCCTACAGGCTCACACTGTCTTACAGGCTCACACTGTCTTACAGGCTACAGGCTCACACTGTCTTACAGGCTACAGGCTCACACTGTCCTACAGGCTCACACTGTCTTACAGGCTCACACTGTCCTACAGGCTACAGGCTCACACTGTCTTACAGGCTCACACTGTCCTACAGGCTCACACTGTCTTACAGGCTCACACTGTCCTACAGGCTCACACTGTCCTACAGGCTCACACTGTCCTACAGGCTCACACTGTCTTACAGGCTCACACTGTCCTACAGGCTCACACTGTCCTACAGGCTCACACTGTCCTACAGGCTCACACTGTCCTACAGGCTACAGGCTCACACTGTCCTACAGGCTCACACTGTCCTACAGGCTCACACTGTCCTACAGGCTACAGGCTCACACTGTCCTACAGGCTCACACTGTCCTACAGGCTCACACTGTCTTACAGGCTACAGGCTCACACTGTCCTACAGGCTACAGGCTCACACTGTCCTACAGGCTCACACTGTCCTACAGGCTACAGGCTCACACTGTCCTACAGGCTCACACTGTCCTACAGGCTCACACTGTCCTACAGGCTACAGGCTCACACTGTCCTACAGGCTCACACTGTCCTACAGGCTCACACTGTCTTACAGGCTACAGGCTCACACTGTCCTACAGGCTCACACTGTCTTACAGGCTACAGGCTCACTCTGTCTTACAGGCTACAGGCTCACACTGTCCTACAGGCTCACACTGTCCTACAGGCTCACACTGTCTTACAGGCTACAGGCTCACACTGTCCTACAGGCTCACACTGTCCTACAGGCTACAGGCTCACACTGTCCTACAGGCTCACACTGTCCTACAGGCTCACACTGTCCTACAGGCTACAGGCTCACACTGTCCTACAGGCTCACACTGTCCTACAGGCTCACACTGTCCTACAGGCTACAGGCTCACACTGTCCTACAGGCTCACACTGTCCTACAGGCTCACACTGTCTTACAGGCTACAGGCTCACACTGTCCTACAGGCTCACACTGTCCTACAGGCTCACACTGTCCTACAGGCTACAGGCTCACACTGTCCTACAGGCTCACACTGTCTTACAGGCTACAGGCTCACACTGTCCTACAGGCTCACACTGTCCTACAGGCTCACACTGTCCTACAGGCTCACACTGTCCTACAGGCTCACACTGTCCTACAGGCTCACACTGTCCTACAGGCTACAGGCTCACACTGTCTTACAGGCTACAGGCTCACACTGTCTTACAGGCTACAGGCTCACACTGTCTTACAGGCTACAGGCTCACACTGTCTTACAGGCTACAGGCTCACACTGTCCTACAGGCTCACACTGTCCTACAGGCTCACACTGTCTTACAGGCTCACACTGTCTTACAGGCTCACACTGTCCTAAGGCTCACACTGTCTTACAGGCTCACACTGTCTTACAGGCTCACACTGTCTTACGGGCTCACACTGTCCTACAGGCTCACACTGTCTTACAGGCTACAGGCTCACACTGTCTTACAGGCTCACACTGTCCTACAGGCTCACACTGTCTTACAGGCTCACACTGTCCTACAGGCTACAGGCTCACACTGTCCTACAGGCTACAGGCTTACACTGTCTTACAGGCTACAGGCTCACACTGTCCTACAGGCTCACACTGTCCTACAGGCTCACACTGTCTTACAGGCTCACACTGTCTTACAGGCTACAGGCTCACACTGTCTTACAGGCTACAGGCTCACACTGTCTTACAGGCTACAGGCTCACACTGTCTTACAGGCTCACACTGTCTTACAGGCTCACACTGGCTTACAGGCTACAGGCTCACACTGTCT